TCTGAAGTCTGATCCCCTCCCAAAAAGTTACTGGGAGGGTCCAGTCTGCTCTGCTAGAATCTAGACCCACCCCCTCGCGTGTTACAGGTGAGGACACTGAGGCCAGAGAAGTTAAGAAATTTATCCACGGTCCCCAGCAGTTAGTGGTGGGACCAGGACTAGAGGCCAGGTCTCCTGCATCGCTGCCTCCTGTCCTGACACCGGGCAGGAAGAGCACAGAGAAATTAGTGTTGGACGATTTTGAAAGGAAAACAGCAGACAGGAAGAGAAGAGCAGGCCAGGGGACATAGGTCAAGGTCCTTCCGTGGGACACTTAGAACTGCGACAGTGAAACGTTCGCTTTGGGCGGGGGTGACACAGACGCTTTACAAAGGTAGGTTGAAGGGACGTCTCTTACCAGTACCAGAAAAAAAAATGTAAAATAAAATTTAAAAATTCTGTTTCTATTTAACAGTACATTTGCGTGGCTCTCGAGAATCCCTTTGGAAGGGATTGGGTGTAATATACTGTATATTTGAAATTTTATTATCATTTATATTATAGCTATATTTGTTAAATAAATTAATTTTAAGCTACAAGAAATGATCTCTGTCCTGATTTAGTCCTTTATTTGAATTTTATTTCTGACCATCTCTTCATGCGTACGATTGCTTTTCAGGGTAATGGTGGTAGTTTTATGCCGGCCACTTTTCAAAGGGGACAGGATATTCAGGGACAGAGGGGTGTCTTTTTGAACACACAGGACAGATCTGCGTTAGCAAAGTCAAGTGGAGAATTGAAGCAATTACCTAGGATAATTAGGCTCAATTTTCCAATTCACTTTAAGCTGAAATCGACACTTGCTCAGGCGACCCAGAACCGACTCTTTCTTTTTTTCTCCCCTTTTAACCTGTCTATGAAAACAAAGCGAATCACCCAAATGGTTTGATGACTGCAGACAGCTAATCCAGACAATTCCCTCCCCCTTAAACCTGTTTTTCCCACTGGAGGCCAGGTGGGGGGATGGAGGCATCGCGCTGCTTCTCTAAATCACCGCGCCGGTGTAGACTGGTTTTGCGGAACTGATTTCGAGCTGCCAGAGTGTGAGCGCCTTCGCACCCCCAATTACGACCCCTAAAAAAATTACCGAGAACCCAGGGCGATCACTTCCTGCCTTGGCGTGTCCTTTGCATGAGCCCTGCCTCCAAACTCTCACAAACTTGTTTTTTCTTTTATATAGAAGGTTAAATTCAGGCTTCCAGGGGAATATATTTGAGCGAGCGCCAAGTTCAGCCTTCTGGGGGGAATTCTGCAAGGATGTTGAAGGCAGAAAATGACCTCTTAGTCAATAAAGCCGACTATGTTTCAGACGCCGCCCTGTTCTCTTTGGAGTTGGGGGCCCTGGCTTAATTCTCACCACATCTGCGCGCGCCTCTCCCCTCTGCTCCGCGCTGGCCGGCGCCTTCAAACTCCACGCAGGACAGCCCCGGGCAGCCTCCGCGAGGCGAGGCCAGCAGATCGAGGGGCGTTAGCACCTCAAGTACCTGGCGTTGGACTAGGGAAGGGTGGATGTCTCAACAGATGGAGACCGTCGCTCAGTCTGGAAACGGAGTCGGGGGCGCACTGTGCAGGTCTAGCCCCAGAGGCCGCAGCTCCGCCAGGGAATTCTAAGAGCGCGCGCGGCTGTGCCCGCGCACCCGAAGCAGGCTCCGGGCACGTTCGGGGTACCCTAGGTCTCAGATCCTTCAGCCTAGGTCGCTCCGCAAAGATTCCGCCCCCCGCGGCTGAGGCTGCAGTCACAACTTGTCACAATCTCCCTCCCGAAGGGAAAAAAGCAAGCTTGCGGTGGAGTGCCGTTCTGAGGCACCAGATAGTCTGGGGGCGCCGCTGGCCTCTGTGCTTCCAGAAGCGCGGCGGACCCCGAATCTGGGCCTCTTCGTCCCCGAGAGAGCAGAGTGACACCGACAAAGGCGTCAGAGCGGCATGCTCACGCGGCCTTTAAAGGCACTGAGGGCTGAGGTACGACGCAGCTTTTTGCAGAGGCAAAAATGGATCCCCCATCTATAAACTAAACAGACCGAGTGGCACGCGCGCAGGACACCCTGGCTCCCACGAACCTTCCGGGTTCTTTTCTAGAACACCCCTGGGAACTCGCCTGTCCCGGGGGTAGCACTGAACTTGAAGTCAGACGAGCCGATGTGGTCCATCCAGGTTCTGCCACTGACTTTGAGTCGGGAAGATCCCCCCGTCCCTTCCTCAGTGTTCTCATCTGCGAAATGGGCCTGGGAACCCTCCCTCCAACCCTAGGATTTGGGGGGACGTGTCAGCGAGCCCCGTGCACAAGGGCGCCTCGGGAATACCGGGGGGATCTGAGTTTTCTCAGTGCACGGCGCGTTCGCAGCACGGGAGTTCTTTCAGTGGGAGCGGGACAGGGGAATGGCGGGGTGGGATCGGGTGTCTCCTGGGGCCCGGGCTCCCGGGCCTCCTGGCTCCTTGAAGCTTGACAATTTAGGGTCCAGGGAAACTCAGAGCAACATAATTGCAGTAATGAGCAAGGGCTCCTGCTCTGCAGACGCGCCGCGGCTCCAGCGAGGCGGTAGCTGCAGGCGAGGCTGGCGCGCCCCTTCCCCCACCCAGGGGTTCTGCCGCGTCCGCCTTCGCCCCCCGTCGCTGGCCTTGGGTCCGGGATTCCTTCCACTCCCATGCCCCCTAGTTTTCTCATTTTTATCTCTTTTCGCAGAGCCCTGGCTTTGTCCCTCCGTTCTGTCTCCGAATTCCCTGTCTCCGCAGGGCGTGCACGCAGAAGGCGCTCAATAAATGTTTGCTGGGTCCGAGGGACTCACTGGTGCGGGGTGAGGACTCTGAGCCACGTTCGGCGCGGTTCCGGCGGGCACTGGTGGCGGGGCTCTGGGCACTGCTTTTTTTCCTTCCCAGTCCTTCGAACTCGATTGCTTGTTTATCAAGAGAGCGCGGAGCGGGCAGGAAGTTCCCAGGCCCGGTCCTTCACAGATCAATTTCTTTCTCTGGCAGGAAACACCGGATCGATCGCGCGGAGTCGCCACCTACCGTGTCCGCGGGAGTTCCTGCGCCCTGCCGCCTCCTCCGCTCCTCCCAACACCCCGGGGAGAATTTTTACGAGGGCGATGACTGCAGTCCAGAGAGGTTACATGATTTCCCCAGGGTCACACAGCCAATAAGGGGCAGAGCAGGGGTTCGAACAGATTCCACTCCAGAACGCGCGCTTTCCCACGGTGCCCAGCTCCCTCTCCTTGAGGGTCATATAGTGCCTGTTCGGGGCTGGAAAAGGCCACTGAAGCACTTGTTGCTGGAAACCGGGCCGCGGGAACCCCGACACTAACGGCGAATTTAACTCCTTCGTGTCCTGTGTCCTGATCGCGAGCCCCGTCTCTTGAGGAACAAAAGGGGCATCTCACCTGCCCTGCACGCTGTCTGTGAGGGCGCTTTCGTTTTGTTGGGGGAGCAGACCGAAGCCTCTGCAAACTCAGCTCCTGGCCACGCTGGCAGGACCGAGAGGCCCGCGCGGTCCGTGGCGTGGAAGCCCGGGCAGGGGCGAGATTACCAGGCGACGGGGGACGTGGGGCGCTCCTAGCTCCTAACGAGTAGATCGGCGAGGCCCAGGCGGTCAGGGGTCTGCGAGGCTGGGGTGGCGCGGGAGAGCGCGGGAGAGCACCTAGTTTTAGGGTTCATTTCTCCGTTCCCTGACCCCGGGGCTGACGACCCAGGTCGCGCAGGAGGCTCCGTGAAGACGGTCACTCAGGAAGCGCGAGGCCTCCGGTGCGAATCCTACAGCCGTGAGGCGCCCCCCCCAACCCCTCCCGCACTGAACGGTCCCCTCGCGGTGACCCGCGCGGCCCGGAGGTGAGCCGGCCGGGCCTGGGCCTGCGCCCCGCCTGGAGCCCTCGGGGGTGCAATGGGAAGCGGCGAGGAGAGGCCGCGGCCGCCTTTCAACTTGGCGGCTGGCGCCGGCCTGGCCGGGCCCCCG